GGATTCCAACAGGAAGCAAGTCTACACAGCAACCTGGTAAACAACGTAGCCATCATAAAGACATCACACAATTCTCTGAATAACTATAGTTTTATAACTTGCATTACAGATAGCCCATCTTTACCTCCACAGTTGATCAGTGTTCCAATACCACCCGAGTAAAACCACCACCTACAAAATGTGGCTTCTACTTACGGACTTAATGCCCAGCCGTATGGCTAGTTGGCTGCCAGCCAAAATATATAACCTTTGCCCTAGTGCAGGATCACCCTGCCATAAAGCAGTTATTTAAAAAAAAAATTAAAACTAGGAAAGTTTTACTTAAACAACCAAGCTTAATTCATGTAAAACTAGACTTACTTGTGACAAATCTAAAAGCCTTCTTTAATTCAATGTCCCGTCTTCAAAATCCTCACCTTAGAGATTTTATTTCTTGACTGAAGGATCACAAGTGTATAATCCTTTTGGATCGAATACTAAAATGAAACCAAAATCACCTGTTAGTCACATGTAGCATTCTCCAATCTGTTGATAAGAGTCCCTCACTGAGGAGAAATAGCACATTTCCTTCTTTATGTTTAGACTCCAAGCTTTAACATATTTATCAGTTAACAGTTAAGAAAATATCATTTGATACAGGAAATATCCTATTCACAACAGCTTCAAACAATAGATAAATAAAATGCCTAGGAACAAATCTAACCAAGGAACTAAAACTGAATGGACTCTACAATAAAAATCTTTTTTTTTTTTTTTTTTTTTTTTGGTTTTTCAAGACAGGGTTTCTCTGTATAGTTTTGGTGCCTGTCTTAGATCTTGCTCTGTAGCCCAGGCTGGCCTCAAACTCACAGAGATCTGCCTGGTTCTGCCTCCCGAGTGCTGGGATTAAAGGCATGCACCCTCACCACCCGGCTTTACAATAAAAATCTTAAGACACTAGAAGATGGAAAGACTGCTCATGCTCATGGACAGGCAGATGTAATTGTGAAAATGGCTGTGTTACCAAAAATGATCTACAAATTCAATGCACTCCCATCCAGTGCCCAATGACTTCTCCACAGCATTAGGTAAAAGTCCTAAAATTCACACAAACACACAAAAAGCAACACACAGTTCAATTGAAAAGAGCAATGCTGTAGGTATTAACATAGCCAATCTCCAATTATAGCACAGAGCCGTGATAGTAAACACAGTGTGGTGTGGACACCAGAGCAGACAGGCAGACCAAAGAATAGACTAGAGAGCCCAGGAAGAAAGCCACAGTTACAGCATAACTTGGAGAAAAGACAGTCTCTTGAACAAATAGTGCTGAGCACTTGGAGGCAGCGCCAGGCAGATCTCTGAGTTGGAGGCCATCCTGATCCACAGAGTAAGCTCCAGGACAGTCAGGATAGCACAGAGAAACCCTGCCTCTAAAACACAAAAAACCAAACAAAATAAACAAACAAGACATAATGCTGAGAAAACTGGGTTTCCACAAGTAAACAGATGAAACTAGATCCATATTTCTCACTCTGTGGAAGAATCAATTCAAAATAGATCAAAGCTCTCAATACGAGACTTGAAATCTTTAAATTGTTAGAGGAAATCATAGATAAAATACTTCAAGATGTGGGCAGAGTTAAGGATTTTCTGAACTGGACTACACAAGAAATAAACCCAAGAATTGACAAACTGGATTACATGAAATTAAGGGCTTCTAAACAGCAACGGAAAGGATGGCCACTCATAAAGTAGGCATGCCATCCCATACTCCACCGAGGAAGACAGCCTCACTGGGATTTCTCCCACAGACTGCCCACCCAGAAGTTTCTTCTGTATAGAGAATTCAGCCTTGGTTGTGTGTCTGGGCACTTGCTGGAGGGGCTATGTGACCACTGACAGAGCAAGAAGACACACTATCTCATACAGTCTGAGACAAGGTCATCATGTTAGGATTCCCCCTGTGGACACTCCATATCCCGATGACTCAGCCCCAGTTGCATATCCCACTACCATGGAATCACCTGTGATGCAGGCTAGGGGTGTTGATCGGGTTCATTTTCTCTGCCAGTTAAAGAACTAAAAGGCAGGAAAATCTGAAGCTCAAGAGGTAGCAGAGAATCTCCAGCACTGCAGACAGAATCAGCAGTGGAAGGAAGGTGTTTATTGGGGGTGAGGAGACACACATGAACAGCAGACACACAGAGGAAAAAAAGACCCTCTGAAAAGCAGGTGGGAGGGACTCAGCAAAAAATCCTGTCCCTTCTCGAGGGCTGGGGGTTTAAAAGCCTCAGAGGAGCTTTCCTCCCCTAATTTGGGGTTGGTCAGTTTAAATAAAGCTAGAATGGTTGATTCGCCCAGAACCGTTGTGTGACATATCCTGAGCAGGCCTTGACCTCATGGAGTCAGTCCATCAGCAGGGCCTGCTGGTGGGAGACAGAAGTCTACAAAACCTTGTTTGAAGCTGCCAGGCTTTTGAATCAAGTCAGGAAAGTAAGGAAGAAGCTGGACATCTTGAAAATTCACCTCCTTTATTACCTAGTCACGGCCCCTCTCCCTATCTGTCTGCCTAACAGAGTCTAACTCCTAGTCTCTCACTAGCACAGCCAAAAGGGACACATTAACACACAGGATATGCAAAAGGACAGCTCTCTTTGAACTTCTTCCAGGGATGCTTCCCCCTCAGGCTGCTCAACCTCGGTTGCATGCCTTGCTCCCCCATATCCAGGACCAGGTCATCATGCCTCCCCAACTCATCTTTGGTTCTGTCAGATTACTGTTCTGGTAAAAAGTGTTGTGGCGGACTTTTCCCGAAGAGATACAACACAACAGTTCAAAGTAACAATTGCATCAATGTCCAACTTAATGAACCCATGAGGGTATTTTTTTACTAGGATTACCAACAGGAGTATGGGTGAGAGGTCACTTCCAAGCAGGGATGACTCAAAAGTAGCTGTGTCACCAGAAAGTCCACCCCAGCATGGATGACGACTCTGACCTGCCAAACCATGGAAAAAGACGTTTGGACTGCAGGGCTACGGTGAGCTATGCACAGAGCTCCACGGTTGCAGTTTCCAGCACTCATCATCCACATTTGCTATAAATAAATAAATATTGGTAGAATGAAAACACCTGATATAAACGATTTTGATGGTACCCCAAGTCCCCTTGAAAGGACATATTGTGCATCACAAATATGACATGATAATTTCGATAACGCTTTTCAAATTAAGCTCATTCTTGAGACACAAAACAGAAAGTTATTTCACATAGCAAACATATATTTGAACTACTCTGAAATATTGAACTGTTAATTTGTGAAGTCATTTCTTCTGTAAAGAATGATTAAAACTGACTATCCTAAAGGTCAGACCAAAGTATCAATTGCTCAATTATTTCTAAAAGGAGTAGGCTAAGGCAGTGAATGTGCTCTACATCTCTTTGGTTGTATACATGTTATAACTTGATGGAGATCATAGAACCTGGGCACTTTCTTGTAGGTAACTTAGAACTCAAATTTTTTTTTAAAGAGTTAAAAGCCCAGAGATTGAGCAGTAGCCAAGAGGTAAGACCACCTTATTTTACCACTGGCTGCTGTCCTTCCCCTGAGTGAGAGAGACCTTCTTCCTGCGTCCTGCCTTTTTATTGCCTTTCTGTTCTGCCTTCTCATTGGCTGTAAACCCAACCACATGACTTCCTTGTCACTGCCTGTCTATACAGACCTCCAGGTCTCTATGGTTCATACTGAGATTAAAGTAGAACTCAAATTTTTAAAGTGGGAAGCGATAGTTAATACTTGTCAATTGAAAAATACTTTATTAGCCGGGCAGTGGTGGCACAGACCTTTAATCCCAGCACTCAGGAGGCAGAGGCAGGCGGATCTCTGTGAGTTCAAGGCCAGCCTGGTCTACAGAGTGAGTTCTAGGACAGCCAGAGCTACACACAGAGAAACCCTGTCTGGAAAAAACAAAAAAAATACAGAGAAAATAAGCCACTTTCATCTTGGTTACAAATTCAACCTATTTCCCTGGGCAAGTGGTAGGATAGAGAGGAAGACAGTCAGGCTCCTCTACTCTCCACAAATGGGATCATGCATTGCTGCTGCTAACCAAGTAGAAACAGAGGCCCAAACGCAGAGCTGGGTCTTCCAAACTCCACTTTACATTTATAAAGTGGGGATAAATTGTGCCTAGTAAAGTGTTAGGGACCACATGGGATTTTAAGAGTTGAGGATTAATAGGGGCTGGGGACATAGCTCAGTTGGTAAGGAGTTTACCTTGTAAACATGGTGACCTGCGTTTGATCCCACAGAACCTACTTAAAAACGTGGGGCATGGTGTCACATTTTTATAGTACCTGTACTGGGGACACGGGAATCTCCCGAGGCTGTGAACAGCTGGCCCATCTAGCCTAAGTGGCGACTCCAGGCTGGTGAGGGGTAGATGGACGGCCTGAGGATGACACCCCAGAAGTTGTCTTCTGGCCTCCACAGGTAAGCACCCAATTTTTTTTTTTTTTTATTGTTGAGGATTAAAAGGGGATGGGGGAGGGGCCTTGGCAAGAAGCAATCGGGTAGGAACGCTAGGTAAGCCTCCGTTGCACCATTTATTATGAAAGCTAAGTTATTCTTCAATCGCACACCCTGCCACTGCCTAAAACCCAGGCTGCCATTCCTTCCTGGGGTGGGGACTCACGAACTACCCCAGCCCTGCCTACCCTTATTTCCCCCGCAGGTTAACTTCCCAATGAACTAACGTCACTCATCGTCCTGACTATGCTCGACTACTTGGGTACAAAGTCCGGAGGGACAGGAAGCCCGGCTTTCCGCTTCGCCTCTGCGGGCTGCCACGCCCGTTCAGGCCACCTCAGGCCACCTCAGGCCTCCTCAGGCCACCGCCTCCGCAAACACCTGCCCGCGGCTGCCAGGCAGGCGGGGCCCGTCACGAGATGGAGGCCCCGCCCCCGCCGGCTGCCAATCCGCTCCGGACCGCCTCCTCCCGCGGCGTCACGTGATCGCCGCCCCGCCCACCGGGCCCGGGACGCGCTGCGCGCAGAGTGACAATCTATCTAGTCGCCGGCGGTCGGCCGGACTAAAGATGGCTACCGCCCTGCAGCGCATCGAGCGGCTCTCCAGCCGGGTGGTGCGCGTGTTGGGCTGTAACCCGGGTCCCTTGACCCTGCAAGGCACCAACACGTACCTGGTGGGGACCGGCAGCAGGTAAACGCCCCCTTCCCGCCCCCAGCCAGCGGGTCCCTCGAGCTCCGCGTTGGACCGAGCGTAAGCAAAGCGCAGACTTTCCGCTCCCGAATCACGGTGTGCTTGCTGTGCGGGCTGCCCGCAGGTCGTCACCGTGTTGAATTGGGATTTCCAGGTGTTAGTTTACCGGAGCCCGTGTGTTGGTGCACTCCTGGAATCCAGTGCTTGGAGTGCAGAGGCGAGAGGGTCGCCACAAGTTCGAGGCCATCCTGGTCTACGTAGCCAATTTCAGGCTTGGTAGAGTCTTATAGCATGGCCCTTAACCACCGTGCCCCAAAAGTTGACAGACAGTATTTGCTTCTCTGATTTTGTTTTGCTCAGAGCCTCCCGTCGTGCAAGCTACTGACAATGCTAAAGCCATTTCCTTACAGTAGAGGGCAGAATTTTGCTTCCAAAATTCAACCTGAGTCTGTGGGTAGGAGAAACTCATTTTGCTTTTTCCTCTAATTGTGTATAGCAAGCATAGCTTGTTTGCATTTAAAGTCTACTGTATTTACTCTTCTTGAGTAAAAGACATTTACAAGCAGTCAGCTTAAGGAGATGGAAGTATTTCGAGTCAAGTAGGCCAAAGGTTAAGCCCTGCGTGAACAAGGCCACGGTCAAGTACAGGACCTCTAGGCTTCCTGAACACTTTAGGGGGATAGAAAATTAAGCATCAGAGTGTCTAACCTCTAGGGTATAGTCTGAGCTGGGCTGCCCTGAGCCCAGTGAGTACGCGGACATTCTCTTCGGTGTGTCATTTAAAACCCCTTCTGAAGTCAGTACCTAAGATGGAGATGGCGGATAGTCCGAATAACCCCAGAGAGTTCTCTGGGAGAGTGCCCTGTTGGAGATCGATGGATGGTCCCAATGAATTCAACACAACCTGCTTTTCTTCGTTGGCTAAGAGATGGCTGGTTTTATATGAAAACCAGATGAAGAAGTTGACTTGCATGTAGAGGCTAGACTGTGTGAAAAATACACACTGTATCCTTAAACGTTTGAATCACTCAGCATAACAAAACGCTTATGCTGAAAGAGACTTAGAAAAACTGAAACTAATTGAGGAAGAGCAGATTCATAGTCTTTCATTAAGCAACTTAAGTTACTAAGAATGAATGCCCAGTGGAATCACTCAAGCTATTTAAATAATAATTTTTTTAAAGATTTATTATGTATACAGTGTTCTGCCTGCATGCCAGAAGAGGGTTGGAAGCCACCATGTGGTTGCTGGGAATTGAACTTAGATCCTCTGCAAGAACAGCCAGTGTTCTTAACCACTGACCCATCTCTCCAGCCCTAAATAATAATTTTTTTCTGGGATATTTAAGTAATAAGTAAAGGCCGGGCGGTGGTGGTGCACACCTTTAATCCCAGCACATGAGAAGCCAAAGTAGGCAGATCTCTGTGAGTTCAAGGTCAGCCTGATCTACAGAGCTAGTTCCAGGACAGTTAGAGCTGTTACCTAGAGAAACCCTGTCTTGAAAAAAGAAAAAAAAGTAATTAGTAAAGCTAAAATAATTAATGTGCAGATGATGCTACTCAACTAAACTAAAGGGTGACTGGAAACAAATATTAACTGAGTCCAAATCAGATTCGTGTCCACTACTCCACTTCACAAAAAAGGTGTAAGGTTATAGGTGGCTTCTGTCTCATTAAACTCAATGGTGTTTTTATATTTCTGGGACCCATTGGCCATTCCCTCCTTGGTGTGCTAACACTGCCTCCTCTCACTGCTTTTCTCACATTCTCCATCTTCATCGATCTTGGCATTCCTCTAAATGCAATCCTAACTTTATTTTTTCAATTTCGTTTACTTATATATTTGTGTGTATGTGTGTGAGCTCACAACATACCATGGTAGGAATATTGACACTGGAAGGTAATTTATAAGAGGTGATTCTTTCCTCTCACCCTGTTATCCTGAAGATCAAACTCAGGTTGTCAGAGTTGGCAGCAAGCACCCTTACCCACTGCGCTCTCGCCTGCCTAATCCGGAAACTCTTCTGATGATTAATCATGACTGTCAACTTTACCGAATTTAGAATCACCTAGAATACAAACTTTTGGGAAGGAATTTCAAGAGAGGTTTAACTGAGTAGCACAGCCTACCCTGAACAGCAAAAACATACCATGTACTCAAGTCCTAAGCTGAATTTGAAAAAGAGAAAACAAGTAGATCACCAAGTATTCCACTAACTCTCTCTCTGCCTCTTGACTATGCACATGATATGACCAGCTGTCACTTCTGCCGCCAGAGCTAGACTCTTGCCATCACATCGTCCCTTCCATAATGGCCTGTGTCCTCAAACTGAACCAAAATAAAGCCTTCCTTTGGTTGCTTTGGTTGGGCCTTGTGTCACAGCAGTGAAAAAAGTGACTTACCGCTTGTGTTTGTACACACTACTATTCAGAGAATCTTACCTGCTTCCTTGTGTCACCTGCTTATTAATAACACCCAACTTTAAACAAAAGCCCAACTTCATCAGGCTCAGAGCTGGATGCATTCTGAAATCTCCTGCATTATCCGGTTTTTCAGACTACACTCATCTTTCCTATTAAAGTTAAGCCCAGGCCCTCCTGATTGGTGGTCCACTTCGTGGTAAACAAAACCACAATGCATTTGATCGAACAAAATGCCTAAACACTCACTGGCTTTCCCCCTACTCCTGGTACACACCCAAGCCATCTTGGAAATCTGTTTGTAACTAAGATCAACCAGTTCAGTTCTGTGTAGACATCTGTATCAGCCTCCTGACTGGCTCTGACTTTTGTCCCTCCTCAGCCCGTCCTCCCAAATGTCGCCATCTTGTTCGTCTTAAATGGCTCTGGTCCAGCCTTGCTGGCCTTTGTGGTGTCCCGGCTGAGGCATATCATTTCTCCTTCCAGACTGTGGTTTCCACGTTCTTCTTTTTCTACACAGTCATCCCATTAACATACGTTCAGCCAGGATGTGTTTCTGTACCTCCAGCACCAAGTCTTGTGCAGCAGAGGGAGTAGAGTGAATACTTGCTGAGTAGTTGCTTACATTTTTCTCTTAGTTTTTGCTTTTTTTTTTTATCCTTGGAGTACTGACAGCGTTAGCTATTCATCCTCCTTTGCTTTGATCAATTTATAGATATCAAAGTTCAATAAATCCCTCGTAGACCTACTTTGATATTTAATATACACATACTGATTAAGCATTTTCCACAGTAGTGTCACATTCTTCCTCTGTTCAAGAACCTCTGATAGCTGAAATTCTAACCTTTCCTATCAAAATTGCGTATACTTTGAGGACAGGCTTTTATGTGTTTTTTGTTTGTTTGTTTATTTGCTTGGGGTTTTTTTTGTTTTGTTTTGTTGCAAAACAGGGTTTCTCTGTGTAGCTTGTGTTTGTACACACTACTATTCAGAGAATCTTACCTGCTTCCTTGTGTCACCTGCTTATTAATAACACCTTTCCTGGAACTTGCTTTATAGACCAGGCTGGCCTCAAACTCACAGAGATCCACCTGCCTCTGCCTCCCGAGTGCTGGGATTAAAGGCGTACGCCACCATCGCCCAGTGGCTTTTATGTTATAATAGAAAAAGGCCATAGAGTTTAGAATATTTTGGGGGTGGATGTTATTTTGAGAATCTCATATATGAATACTATATTTACATAATTTCCTCCCTACCCTCCTCCTCCAGCTCTGTGTCCTCTCTCAAATTCAAACCTCTTATTTACTATTGTTACATATAGACATGTATGAATACAACCTGCCGAGTCCTTTTAGTCTTGCTCATATGTGTATGTGTTTAGGGCTGCCCACTTAGAATTGGATCACCTATCAGAGGGCTCTTCCCTGGAGAAGATTGATTCTCCCTCTCAGCAGCCCTTAGTTGCCTATAGCTCTTTTTCTAGGAGTAAGGCAGTGTGAGATTTCCTCCATCCACGTTAGCATGTCAGCTGGTGGTGGCATTTTTCAGATCTTGTTTGGACGATCATATTGTTGAAGTTTCATGAGTGCAGCTTCCCTGTCTTATATAGAAAACATTGTCTTGCAGCAGACATCCTGGTTTTCTGGTTTTTACAACCTCCCCTCCCCCAGTATCCTGAGCCTCTGTGTAGGGCTTGTATTGTAGATTTATCAACTAGGTTGGACACTCCATGGTCGACTAACCTTTACCTACTTCACAGTCCTGGCTGCTTATTAACTGTGAGACTTGAAAGGAGATGGCTATCTCCCTAGCATGTTCTTTATCTATACAGTGGATTTTATAGTACCTCCCTTATTATGAGGATTTAGTGAAATCTCCATGAAAGCATTTATCAAAAACAACAAAACTTTATCACGAGGAAAGCGTATTACAGTGTTTGTCTTATGTCAACTTGACACACAAACTAGAGTTCTCTGAAATTGAAATTGAGAAAATGCTTCCATAAGATCCAGCTGTAAGGCATTTTCTTAATTAGTTATTGATAAGGGAGGGCCCAGTCACTGTGGGTGGTTCCACCCCTGGGCAGATGGTCTTGGGTTCCATAAGAAAGCAGGCTGAGCAAGCCTTGGGGAGGAAGCCAGTAAACAGCATTCCTCTATGGCCTCTGCATCAGCTCCTGGTTTCAGGTTCCTGCCCTGTGTGAGTTTCTGTCCTGACTTCCTTTGATGATGAACAACAATGTAGAAGTCTAAGCCAAATAAACCCTCTCCTCTCCAACTTGCTTTTTGGTCATGGTGTTTCATTGCAGCGATAGAAACCCTGAAATAATGTCAGTCAGTTATCAATTCTGTTGACTACCCTGGGCTCAGAGTAGATGGTCAACAACTAGCATTTATGTTGTGTGAGTGAAAGCAAATGGACACCCAGCAGTTAATAACTATCTTAATGTTGATAGAGCTTATTATTGATATAAAATCCCTAGAAAGAAATTGATTCTACTAACTTGCCCTCACTTGAATTTTTCTCTATTCATAGAAGAGATTATGTGTCTACTATGTTCCCAGCCTTGAGTTCTGGTG